ATAATAATAATAATAATAATAATAATAATAATAATATTATTATTATTATTATTATTATTTATGGACACCCAACCCACACATCTGAAAATAAAGTAAGTGTTGACGTTATATGTGACACCGGTGAATCTCTGAAGGGTTTGTGGCACTTGTTAGTTCCTCAGAGGCCTGTGACACCTGTAAATATTTCAGGTGTCAATGGGTTATTAGACTGCACGTCGTGGAGTCAACCTACCACCTATGACAAGACACCCCCCATAGGAGTTGGTTGGCTGGTTATAGTGCCAATAGTAACGACACATTACGTGTCAGTTGTTTAATGTGGTAACTGTAACAGGAAGTCCTTAAGTGTTAGGTTGATGTTTTTATCCTGAACCCTTCCCAGTGCTATATAGTCGTAATGGTTTGGCGTTTTCCCCCTGATAGTTCCCTTCCCTCAGAGAGATTTGTGCTCATGTGTTATTTATGTGTAAGAATTATATTTACTTGTAGTTCATTTATAATTAATATAAACAAAGTTGGATCAATTGAAGCATTTATAATAAAATAATACTTGCCTAAGATGGCCAAGTTCTTTGCGTCCTGATCGCACAATAAGTTAATCTTTTCCGGGGAGAAAATTTGAATTATTATTTTAATGTTATAAAGTTTCCTTCGTGCATTGCCAAACAATGTTGACAAAAATATTTCAACACAAAATAAATTCCAGAAATTTCTCCCCAAATAGCAGCATTAATGTCACCGCTAAATTGATGTTAATGAATGAATGTCATTGAATAAAGCTTAAAACCCTCTACAACAGTCTTAAACCAGTCTTAAATCCCTCTACAACAGTCTTAAACCAGTCTTAAAACCCTCTACAACAGTCTTAAACTAAGTTTTTATTCCTTTATGTACGAATATTAACGCGAATAAATATATTTAGCTGCCTTTTTTCATTCAAGTTTACGAGTTTCGTGACCACCAGTTTCGTAAATCGTGTCAATAGAGTAGATAGCTAAAGAGAGCTGCCTGTCTACAGTCATCTACTTTAGGGAAGGAGGAAGAGGGGGGTTATAATCACCTCTTCTTTTAACAAGCTTCCAATCCTTTCCTACGGCTCTCAAGCCATGGACCTCCCTCTTCCCCTTTGATTTGTTGTGGTGTGCAGGATAATTTATTGCCCAATTTACCCGTGCTCTGAGGAGTCCAGCATGTTTTAGTGCGCCACCCTGCCATTGGCTGCAATATATTGTGCCTCATATTAGACACAAGATAACAGGAGTATGACCATGTTGATGCAAGCATCCCCAGAACCGTGTATAAGCTCTGCTCTCCTATTAACCACCTGGCTGCCTGCCTGCTAGTATCACGCTCCTGCCGGCCAGTTGCCTGCCGGCTAGTGTCATGCTCCTGCCAGCCAGCTGGCTGCCGGCTAGTGTCATGCTCCTGCCGGCCAGCTGGCTGCCTGCTAGTGTCATGCTCTCCTACCGGCCAGCCGACTGCCTGCTAGTGTTATCTCTGACTTTCCTCTTAGTTATCTCTCTCCTCTTAGCTCATGATATTCTTGTTAATGTCAGCCACAAGACATTCCTTGCAATAGAGCAGGCAGGTAAGCAGTTATCTCGACATACGAGAGCGAGGCCCGAGGCAGGTGCATTCAGGTGATAACCGGATTGGTTCTGACCTGCAACTTGTCAAGTTGCAGAATGTGCTCTGAAGTTCCTAACTTCGAGAGAGAGAGAGAGAGAGAGAGAGAGCGAGAGAGAGAGAGAGAGAGAGAGAGAGAGAGAGAGAGAGAGAGAGAGAGAGAGAGAGAGAGAGAGAGAGAAAGGAAGAGAAAGAGATAGAATAAGCCTCTCTTTATAAACTTTTGGTCCCATGTTACAGGTTTTACGTCGATGTTTAATGTTAACATTACCCAACAAAGCCATACAGATGTGAGACTCTAATACTGAATAGGAATTGGCTCATTATTAAGTGTTTAGTGGGTTTTACTGCGCGGAAAACGAGTGAATATTTTAATGTTAAACAATTTACGGTTCATTATTGTACAACCGCTCCGTTTATTGCCAGAGATGATCGTTAAGGGATGTTGTATACCTTTTCATTAGCGTGTTGCTTGTTACTTTAGTTATCTCCAGCCTGCTTGAGTGTACTCAATATTACTCAACACGCATACTGGAGCCTCTTGATCTAGTACTCATTCTCACGCTTGTTGAAATTGCTGGTTACTCATATTGTTCTACTCCCAGCACTGATTACTCATGCTGTTCAACCCTCAGCGCTGGTTACTCATGCTGTTCAACCCTCAGCGCTGGGTACTCATGCTGTTCTACTCCCAGCACTGGGTACTTATGCTGTTCTACCCCTCAGCGCTGGGTACTTATGCTATAATTCATCCAATAAAATGTATATCTAAGAGACATTTTTACATATGCTGAATAATATCTATCTATTAATAGATATTACGTAAAATAACATTCAGAATAGAGCCAAGTTTAACAAAATAATGTTATAACAAAACTGTCATGTAACAAGAAATGTGTACCAGTTTAGCATAATAGTTTAAAATACATTGCCACTTCGGTGGACTAGTTCCTAAAACCTCTTGTGAACCCAATTCTAAAATTTCTGAACCATATTCAACTGCCTCTTTTGAATCAGATTTTAAGACCTGCTCTGAACCAAATTTAAATACCTTTTCTGAACGAGGTTCTACTACCTCCTCGGCTCCTGCAGCGTCGGTGCTGCTCTGGAGAGAAAAGGATAATTGGGTCAGTAATTATACTCTTACATTAGTGTTCTGTATTTTTTTACGTCCTGACGTGTTAAGTGTAACAGTAAATTCTTAGGGAAAGTATTATACAATCTCACTCCTGAGATAAAATTAGATATCAGTGCTGCTAAAAGCCTTCCTCCAGACAAATGCGAGGAGTAAAACGGTAACCGAATATTGTAGTTTTTTGTTAATTATAATTTTTAAAAGGTATATGTGCATCTGTGCTTTCTTGTTTGTATGTGTGTGTACTCACCTAGTTGTATTTTAAGGAGGGGGGTGAGGTCTCTTGAGTCCCGCATCTTCACCCTAATTGACTGGTGTATGCCTTTCAGAGCCTATCTTTTTGAGGCTGATTCCTCCCCTTCATTTCTAAATTCATTCCATTTAATAATAAAAACGAAACAAATTCTAATATCTATGTGACTCATTTGAGTGCTTTGTTTCCATCTTTGTGACCTTATTCGTGTTGTACCTATGCTAAGACGTCTGTTCATGTCTGGGTGGTCTATTTCCCCAAATATCTTGTAAGCGGTAATCATGTCTTTCTGTTTAATCTATCTTCCAGTAACGTTGTAATAATCATGGGTTCGTTAAGCATTTCGTTAATCGTTTGCAGGTTTTGTTCGACACTATATGTTCCTGAAGTGATGTTGCTCATATGGGCAATGATCGCTTAAACGTGTGTTTTCTGCTCTTTGAGAAAACATTTAATCGGTTTATAAGTGTTCTAGACGGACCAAAACGTCGTCATTTTCAGTTCATTGGGTTAATGAGTTAATTTGTTTCAGTGACTAAATTAAATAAATTAACCCAAAGTTGGGGTTGGGTTAATTTATTTGTTTCAGGGACGTTAGTGTGACATGTCTTGCCTGCCTGACGCGTAAGTCTAATTAAAGACCATGTACATGTCATAACATCTAACATGTTTATTTTCCACATGAAATATAAATGGCAAGGTTATCTTAAATTTAAAACTCATTCGGAGGCATCTGAGCACACCATTAAAACCATCCTTCCATGCAGAAAAAAAGATGGAAGATTAATATAAGTTTGAAGTTTGGGAAATTGCATCAAGTATGAGGGCCACAATCTCGAGAGTAGATATCCTCCCCTGAGTCAGAAGACGTGTTATTAAGCAACACAAGACCCCAACATTACAAACTCCTTCATCGAAAGCATCACACTCGAAAAAGCTTCCTCCCTGGCAGGGCCAGCTATCACGGTAGGAGTTGCCTTCATAAACGGATGTAATCTAAGTTGATCGTGTCTCAGAGTGAGGGTAGCGGCTCCCTGCCTCGTCCGGCTCTTATATACAGCCACAACACAGTTCCTTATTGGCTGTCCCAATGGAAGTTCCGTATTGGACAGGTCAGCAATATCTACATAGCCGCACCGTTGTAAGTACTTTATGGTTTGTAATAAGTTGTTTTACAGCAAGATATACAGTAGCACAGGTAATATAATTCCACCGTGGGTCCATAATGAAGGTGTTGTTGTAAGATTTACAACAGTAGTTTTTTATTATAGCTATTTATAAATAACGTTATATCAACCTGGCACTATCGATCTTTTCAGCGGTTTTCAGTAGGTTTTCAGTGGTGACAGACCAAGAGAACGGGCTGCTTCGGTACCATTCCGGTTATTAACCAACACATAGGACTGCCTAGCCGTATGTATTATTGATTAGGAAGTATACATTTATACCGTAGTTTGTTACCGTATTGTAACTATATTTCTCTTGAATGATTTTGGGATACAAGATGACGCCTCGTACAGCTCTAACATCTCGAGAAGCGACGACACTTTCTCGTCATGTGACATAAGAGGACCAATGGGTGGCGACCTGGGAGGTTATGCGTCATCGAGTCCACCTCAGGGTTGGTTGGCACTAGTCACTTGCTGCCCAGATGTTACACGAGAGCTGTGCCTTGCTTTAGGCGCCACAAACGTAGAACCTTCGATCAAATTGAATCTCCGAGAGCAGCGATCTCTATTTTGATAGTGTGATCGGATCACTTCCAGTGGAACCTTCCGTAGAGGTGTGGGTGCCCCAGGGTAGTGTGATCGGATCGCTTATGTTGAACATCTTCTTAGATGACATCTTGAAGTTAATGCCAGAAGCAAGCGCCTATGCAGATGATGGTACACTGACTTTCCGAGAAGACAAGACAAAGGAGTTGATCTCATCAATGAAAACCTAAATTTTTTTTCTTTGGACAACGTTGTCAACTTTCATCGTAGAACAAAAAATTATATCATGGGACACGAAATGAATCGTCCTGTCATAGAGCTAGATAATAAAACACTGATGAATGTTTCATTAATTGACAAGAGGATTTGATACGGCTGAAAATCTATCCGTTACAAGACACTGAAAATGTTGAACAAAAGTTCGCTAGGAAACTAACATCATCTGTATGCTAAGGATATATCACACGCAAAGAATCCCATATTTGTTCTATTATGGAGTTACGACCACTTTCTTAGGATTCCAGTCCACAATCTATCTACAACGAGGCCATGCATCTAGTGAAAAAGAAACTTTAAGTGTCTGATAAATACCACACAATATTATTAAATAAAAGTACAGATTCCCCCATTTCTGCATATAAACTGCAGTTCTAGCTTGCAATCAATATTCAACATTCAGTTGAATGTTGATTGCAATAAACAAATCATAACAAAACAATATGATCGCAAAGTATTCTTTAGAAAATACAAACTACAGCAACAAACAATATTCCTTGCTTCCCCTGTGAATATTTTTCCAATTAAGACATTTAATAATAATCTTATATCAGTGTTACGAAAATGAAATAATTAGAGTACGGTTCCTAGGAAGGCAGTGACGTTAATTTTCAGCCGTCTGGCATGCGAAAAATGTTTGCAAATGAGTTTCAATGCCCGTCTCTGAGGTGGCCAGGTCCAAAACATTTCTATTCAGTACATTCTGAATGGAAAATGAAACCGTCCCAGCACTCAGCGACCCGCTGGACGTGCCACGCACAATTTTGCTCCTCATTCACATGTGTATGATATGCCATGGTGAAGGGTAGTGCTCACTCCCTCGGTGGAGGGTAGCGCTCACGCCCTCGGTGGAGGGTAGCGCTCACTCCCTCGGTGGAGGGTAGCGCTCACTCCCTCGGTGGAGGGTAGCGCTCACTCCCTCGGTGGAGGGTAGCGCTCACTCCCTCGGTGGAGGGTAGCGCTCACTCCCTCGGTGGAGGGTAGCGCTCACTCCCTCGGTGAAGAGTAGCAAGAGCAACAGAAACTTTATTTAGTGTGCTAAGGAGCATCATCAACGCAATAAAGTTCATAGGATGGGTTACATAAATTTAAAGAAATGCAGAGACCCAAAAATCTTCCTCAGTGTTACAGAGGGAAAACTTAAATAGAAGCCGAGAAGGTAACACGACGTGAGGTAACGATTTACAAAGGTAAGAGAGTTCAGTTGTTGTTGTTGGTGAAAATAACTATATTCGAGAGAGAGAGAGAGAGAGAGAGAGAGAGAGAGAGAGAGAGAGAGAGAGAGAGAGAGAGAGAGAGAGAGAGAGAGAGAGAGAGAGAGAGAGAGCAAGTGTAAAGATGAACGTGTAAATATGACAATATAATCCTTGTGTAGCGCAATGATTGCATTTTCCCCCAGACTTACAGTGAGCCAAGCACCACCCACCATTACCCTCAACCTACACAGCTGGTTTTGTATGCTCGGCAGAAAATACTTCACAAAATGTATTTTTCATTTGGCAAAAGCTTCACTCTAGCAACTTTTATGAAGTCAAAACGAAAATGTATTCAGCATTTATGTATTTACCACACGGACCCCTCCGTTTGTACCGTGCATCAAACAGTGTATTTAGCATAGTTATTATCACTTATAAGGCTTTTGCCAGTTCCCCATAAATTACAGACTCTTCACGTTCATTTTTTTTAAATATTTAGCGTAATTATGATATCAGAGGAAATATAAAAATCTATTTATCATGAAGTGCTAAACAAATATATGTAAATAACACCTCAGAATATTAAAATCAATATCCAAACATTAATCTAAAATGGTGACTATATAGGGAAGCTTGAATGGTCCCCAATCCAACAAGAATCAGAAAACTCTTTAACTTTGAAGGATTTGTACCTGGTCAGCCAGCCCCTTCATGCCCCTTGGCGTGTCCAGTACTATAACCATTCTGCCAACAAACTGTACAAAATTATTGGAGAGTCGTCTGACTTTTCATTAAATGCTTAGACAAGTGACAGTACGAAAAGAATTTGAGTGTTAAGTTCAAAAGTAAAACAACGAAATTCCTCACATAAAAAAGGAGAGTCAATACCAAATTAGATTTTGGCAATGAAACCATTAATCAGATAAAGATATTTTATATGCAAAGATATTTCTGTATGAACGTAGTCAGCCAAAATAGTACACTATACTGAGTGATCTGATATTCTTGCAAGTAAAAAGTGGTTTAATCAAAATTTAAACATAATACGAGTTTCGAATCTGGATCTAAGCTTCACAAGACCTGCAATTTTGTATATAATTTTATATTATTAAAAATAAATTCGCTTGTAATAGGTATGTGGCTAGGTTGATATAACAACAGTTGCATTAATATTACATGGTTCCTAAAATGCATAATACAACAAAGTTAATAAATTCTTTGTTAATGAACAGGTGCGAGAATGCAAAGGGTAAGTAGTCATATGCTTTGTGAAATATGTGTTGGAGAATGAACCCATTA